TTGCTGGTGGAAAGAGTATAAACCAGGCATCTTTGCAAAGAAAACAGATGACATATCAGAGCACCCAGCAGAGAACAACTCATAGCAGGATATACAGTTTACTGTGGCTGCTATGGTTCACTGTCAGATATTCAAAAGTTAATTGGATTAACAAATTCCAGCAATAATGGCAGAATTCAGGTCTAGATGTATTTCTAAGAGCTGTCTGCCTCTCTAGAGCTTCTTCTATTCAATAAAGCGTATAGGATGTCTATAATTGCTGTTTTATATAAAGAGGGAAATCCATCCATTTCTATTAATCAGCATTTTCATCCATTTATTCTGTTATTGAAATAACAGAATAGACAACTTATTTATAATCCCTAGATATTATCACTTTTTTTGTAAAATATATCATTTGTTACTGCTTCAGCTTTATGCTAAAGGTTTCAGCCTCACCGTTTTACAGTGTGCCAGAACCCTGAGAACCTTCTGAAAGAAAGCCCTAGAGCAAAATTTTGCAAGCCTTGAAGATACAGAAGTGCATAAATGACCTAATTTTCCAAGTTACTGAACACCTAGAGAGTCATACTGCAGAAAGTGATGTCACTCTGTGGAAGTGCTTAGCCATTTGTCATAAGGTCAACATTAAAAAAGAAATGGTGAGGTTATCCCATGGTACTTTGCTAGGTATCTCTCTAGTATCTACACAGACCTAACTAAGCCCCCTAACCCCTCTGCAAGCCTTGACTGAATCAAATGGAAAACTCTTAAAGAGTCTTTAAAGATGGTCTTAGTTGTTCCACTGCCCTAGGGAAGAACTGGGTGAGTCCATTCCCACGTTACTTACCACAACTAAATATCAGTTATCATTATTTGAGCTGAAAAAGAACTAATTCTCTTTGGATATAACAGAACATCTCAAGCATGCTGTGGTGATGAGCCAAATGATAAAAGTCACTGTCAATACTTCCTGGTATCAGATGCATGTAGTCACAAAAAAGGGAGGCTTCTCAAGGCCATTTTCTAGACTATCACCATTTAATCTGTTGTTCATACAAGCTGACAAAACTCAGAGCTGTGGGGTAGGAACAGTTCCCGTGTGGCCACAGATCCATGTTTAAACTAGTGCCTTTTTTTTTTCCTGAACTGATCAGTCTGTTTCCTCATTCACAGTATTTTGCTGCTGTTTCTTGGTAAGTTTAGACTCACTACAACTTGTGACTCCTACCTGAGACTGCCTGTCAGTCAAGCAGGGCAGAAGGAGCAACAGTCAGGGTTTGAAAGTTTGCCTGGTAGTGACGTACTCATCAGTATAATCCTTGGTGGAGACCATCACCATTTGTCAGAAATTGCAAGTGAGAGAATCTTGAAATTATGCAAAGAGCAAAATGTCACAAGAGCTAGTCAGGGGAGCAGCCTCAGTAAACAAAATACATTCAGTGGGTTAGAAAGCACAGGGTATGCCCTTAACTGAATATTCTACCCGGGCCTCATGAAAAAGAGTGTTAGGAGAAGGAAAGATCTCCAGTCTGGACCCTGAGTAAATCTGCTTAAAAACAAAGAACAACAGGGACCTGGCAGAGCCAAGATGCAGTCTCCTGAACAAAACAAGGAGATGAAAAGGAAAAACAGCCAGGTAAAAACATGAAAGAGAAGCTCAAACTGAGCAGACAAAAAAACATTAGGAATGGAGACAGCAGAGTAGAAGAGAAGGAAATGCCAAAGACACTGCTGGGACAAGGGACAACAGAAATTCTTCAGTGTGGACGAAGCATAACTAAGGTGTGAGCAGCACAAGAAAGAGGAAACAAGTTCAGAGCACCAGGGGAGGGGGAAAGGAAGAAGATACAAAGAACAGGACTGTACAGAGCTGAACACCGCACATTCAGAGACGCTACATGATCAGAGCATCGCCTCTCTATTTACTTGGCCACAAATGCATCCCCACACCAATAAATTAGTACCCAGATAATAGTCTAATAGCAACATCACCTGTCACCGTAAATAAGTGGTTAACTCTAAAGGAAAAATACAAGTATTATTTTCACTAGCCCAATCCAGCACAGCCTTATATAAGCACAAGGGCTCTTCTCAACAACCTGAAAAATCAACAGATCATAACCAAGAGGACAGCATCGGAGGTGTCAGATCCCATCAAAAAAAAATCAATCCAAACTACTGGTCACAGGCTCCCTGCCTCACTCCTGAGACAGCACATCAGGAGAGACCGTAGGTTTGATACGGGTGACGACAAGCCTGAGGGCCCTGGTGTTTTTCTGCAAGCCTCCCACCAGGGCTCTTGCAGACGCACCGTCTGGCATCACTAGAAACAACAGTGGGAAGGCCAGCGCGGACCGGCTGCTGACGCCCCAGCCACCATGTCATCTGGTCGGGCTCCGATCGGCTCTCGACAACATGGTGGTGGAAACGCCGGCGGGAAGGCACGGCAGGCGGCGGGGCCGCCCACAGCCACCGCGAGGCAGCCAGGCCCGTGCTACAGTCACC